TCCCAATTATGGGTCATTAGAAACGTGTTTATGCACAAGAGCCATTGGAATACCTTTTGGTTGTCCCTTTATGAGTCATCGGAATGCCTTCATGGCAGTCCCTTTGTGGGTCATCAGAAACGTCTCTGTACACATGAGTCATCGGAATGCCCTTTACGGCCATCCCTTTATGGGTCATTAGATTTGTTAACGCTAATGAATGTGCCACGTACTATGATGAGAAATATACAAACTTTAAATACGAATGCAACTACGTATATGAATCTGTTTTTGCTTTGATGACGGAACATGTATATGAATTTGTTTTTGATATGAAATCTAATTATGTATAAGATTCTGTTTCTGATAAAAAGTTATTTCTGATATAAACTCTGATTTCCGACTCTATGATGGACATCATTTATTAAAACCCTTTACTTTGTTATTAATCACTGGGCACCAGCTCACTATTTGTTATTATGTATATAGGTGAGCAGGCACGTGACCAGACCTAGAGTTGATGGCCAAAGATTCTGTTTTGTCAGCTAGCCATTGTGTCTCCAAGGAGGTTCCCTTTTGTGAGCAAGTCAAGTCTAAATGACATATGCTTAAGACATTCTCATATCTGAAGTATGAACAATTTTTCTGTTGTGTATATTGGGCTAAGTCCCTTTTGGCTACTTTTGTATTGGATGTGACGTAAGACCTGCATTATGACGTCAAGGGTTTAAAATTTTCTGTCTCATATAGGTCTGCGCAGCTCTATGAACTATGTATATTTCGTATATTTGCTTCCGCAGCCCTTCATTATATGTTATTCCGCTAAGAAGCCTTTGGTAATCCAAAAATTACTGGTCAGTTACGACGCTAAACCTATAGAGGCAGGTTTGGGTTGTGACACCCAGATAGAGACGACATAGTACCATCAACAATATGCACTTTTTCTTGACCTGAACAGGGTTTATACTCACAGAATAAATGAGAGGAACCAAACATATGGTTAGAAGCACCAGAATCAATAATCCAAGGCACAGTGGTATGAGATAGTAATGCATATGGAGAGGAAGTCAAGTTACCTGAATTGGCAAAGGAAGAAGAGGGTGCACCTGTGGCAGAAGTAAAGGCGCGATGATCTAGCAAGTGGTGAAAAACAATCTCAAAATTCGAGGCAGATAACCCTAAAACATCAACTGCCGGTGAGACAGCGGGAGATGAAGATGGTGGTTCAACCGTGTTTGAAAGATGAGCCCGAGCATTGGCCCCTCGGCCTCTAGACGAGCCAGATTGACCCTCGCGAGTACCCGAACGGTCGCCGCGACCACCAAGAGTCCCATATAGCTTCCAGCAAGTCTCTTGGGTGTGTCGAGGTTAACGGTAGTAGTCACAGAAAAGATGATCCTTCTCAGAAGAAGGACAAGAACAATGAGACACACGTTCGCCAGCTCGAGAAGGTGCAAAAACCAAAGCAAAACAATAAGTAGTGGTAGAAGGAAGCATCGCAGAACGGCGACTCTCCTCATTCTGCACAAGAGCAAAGGCTTCCTGGAGAGAAGGAAGCACATCCATGCCAAGGACTCGGCTCCGAACAAGGTCATACTCCACATTTAGGCCTTCCAAGAACTTGAAGACCCGCTCTTGTGCCATAAACTTCCGATAACCAGCAGAATCAATGGGACAAACAAGCTTGTAATCTTGAAGATGATCAAGCCGCTTCTACCTATTGCTAAGAAAGGTAAAATAGTGGAGAATAGTCATGTCACCTTGTACCGACCTTTCAATGGAGCGACGTAACTCAAAAGCCTGGGAGAAATTCCCCTTTCCGGAGTAAGTGGTAACCACGGCCTTCTAAATATCTTGTGCAGTATCCATAGAGAGATAACCCTCTCCAATCCTTAGAACTATAGAATGGATCAACCAACCTATAATGAGGGAATTGGTGATCTCCCACTGATTATAACTCGAGTCCGTGGTGGTTAGTTGCCTTAATACTAGGTCTTTTTCTATGTCTTTCTCATTCGACTTCTCAGTCTCTCTCCCGGAGGGTTTTGCTTGATCTAGGGATAGGGGTTTGCAATAACGACTATTTATGGTCATGTGGTTAATCTCATTTGCGTACCATGTATTATCAGGGGTATTGGTTTTCCACCCCTCATTAGTGTATACAAGGCTCAAATCACTGTCCTCCCATTATTTCTCTGCAATCATTGCTGGGCCATTATCGGGCTCCACTCAGATCATATTCACATCGCACCTTCCGTCGGCACCCCATTCCTCTTCCACAGCTGATTCAATTTCTGCATGTGGGTACTGCCTGAGCTTCATTGGCATCCTTTCCCTGTCACCAGATTCCCATTCAGGCTTTTATGTGGTTTGGACATCATCTGTTTTTGACTCGACCTCTTCTTTTCTCTTCCTTTTCTCCGGCTCCTGGGCTATCTTTCTCTGTATTTCCTCTATCCTCTCTCGTTGGAACTGCTCTAATGCTCTCTTCTTCTCAGTTATAGGCATGGCCTTAGCCTTGCTATTCTCACCAATTTCCTCTCTTTTCGGATTCTTCTTCATCTACTCTTTTGTATTGGATTCCTCTTCGCTACCCAACCACCCATGGCTGGATTTAGGTTGGCTTGGATCCCACCACCCGATCTGAACGCTGCCTACATCCTCTTCTTCGATGAAGTAGAGGCTCTCCAGGTCTTCTTCTATTTCTGTCAGGTTATTAAGACCTTGTTCAGGCCAGTCGTCCAAATTTTGTCCAAGCCCATTATCTCCAATGGCGTTGATGCTGAGCGAGTCTGGTAGTATGATTACAGGCTTTGGTTGGTCCGAAGCCACAATTTACCTGCTGGGCTCATACTCTTCCACTAGTGAGGGCCTCTTCTCCACAACTTGGGTATCAGACATCCCTTTCTCTTCTCTTCCACTTCTACCACCGTAGGCCTTGATTGGGTTTTGGGTGTTATATTCATCATGCACATATCTGTGCTTTCAGGAATAACCACCTCCGGCTTAGGCAGATGGGATGGAGTGATATATACGCTGGGGTTGAATGTGGGTAGTGGTGTGTGGATAAGGTTGATATTTCTGGATGGATGGACTTGGTTGTGGATAGGTAGTGGGTTGGTGTTCACATTTTGGTTTTGAGGGTGGGGCTATGACTTTATTGTCATGAGATCCTGGATCTCATGATAAAGGTGATAGCAACGATCAGTAGGGTGACCGTGCTATTGGTGGAAAATGCAGTGTTGGGTGGGATCGTGTTTGGCTAGGAGTGGATCAGTGAGAGGTCGAGGGTTAAGGGGCTTAAGGTGTCCCTTTTCCATCAGAAGTTTAAGAGCACGAACTGGGCTCATGTGAAGGGGGTAAAGGTTCTATATTGGTTTCGGGCTGGACCGGTGGGTTATGAGGTTGCACTGGTGAAGGGATTGGCTATTTTGGATGTTGTGGCGACGGTACTAATCTCAACAGACCTAGGAATAGTGCTATTGCTAGCATTGGTACTCCTGGTAAACGGCCTCTTTGTTGGCTCACTTGTTTTCCGAATGATGCCTTTCTTAAACGCGCTTTCAATTTGAACCCCCAACTTATGCAAAGCAGCAAATGTAGACAATGGTGCGACTATCATACGTTGTAACATGTCCGGTCCGAGATTCTGAACTACCAACTGGACTTGTTCCCTTTCTGAGGGCCTGTTTGTCATTCTAGCTGCCTTTGCCCTCCATCTTGCAACAAAGTCGATGAAGGGTTCCTTGGGATTCTGAGTGGCCGCTTCCAACTTGCTGATTGTTATTTTTATTTAAGTATTGTATGAGTATTGATTAACAAACCCCTTAGATAGTTCTTCCCAATTCCATTTAGTCAAATCCTCTAGTTTGGCATACTAGATGGCTGTTACATCTGATAAAGTTCTTTTGAACAATGACAGTTTCTGAGCCCGAGTCTGGCCCATTGGTCTCAGAACATCCGAGAAAAGACATACATGAACAATAGGATCTCCGCTACCATCAAATCTATCGATGTGAGGCATCTTGAACTTTTCCAACAATCTAACAGAGGCCTCGATATAACCGTCTTCAATATCTGGGATGGAATTGAAGCCTTGAGATTTTTTGAGCGTCTTCTCTAGCTTGGTGATTTTTATCATAGCCAGATCAATGTTGTTGATGTCAAAGGGAAGGAGTCCCCCGTGGGGCTGTGCCAAAGGTCTAAAAACTTGAGCCTGTGCTAGCATCTCTTGGGGATCTGGGACTTAAGGATTTTCAACCGGTGGAGGCGGATCAGGATTTGGCTGGGCAGCCAAGACTGGATTTACAGTTCATGCTGATGCCCTAGATAGGCATCGCATTTCAGCAATAGTCTCATCCTGAGCGGTAATTCTTTGATTTAGTGTATCCATGGTTCTCTGAAAAGCTGCCATCATAGTAGCAACCTTTTCTGGATTACTGTGTGCCATTGCAAATCTAAGAGAGTTAGCTATTGTAGTTTTAGAGAAGAGAAAGAGTTAGGGAATGAGTTAGACTTCATTCCTTTTTATATTGATAATTGAGCAATTACAGCCGTAGTCTGAGTAATCAAAAAAGAAATGCATAAGAATACAACCAATTATTTCCTATTTTAACAATTTCCTATTCTAACACTCCTCTTCAAGCTGGTGCGAAGATATCTCTCATGCCCAGCTTGTTGAGAAGGCCATGAAAGGATTTGCTCCCTGGTCACTTGGTGAGAACATCAGCTAGTTGGTCCCCAGTTTTCACAAATGGAATATATATGGTGTCATTAGTGAGTTTTTCCTTGATGAAGTGCCTATCAATCTCCACATGCTTAGTTCTATCATGCTGAACTGGATTATGAGCTATGTTGATTGCGGCCTTGCTGTTACAGTATAGTCGCATGGAGTAAGTCTGGTGGATTCCCAAGTCTCCCAACAATAGTTTAATCCATAGTAACTCACACACACCCTGAGACATAGTCCTAAATTTTGTCTCAGCATTAGATCTAACCACCACGTTCTGTTTCTTACTTCGCTATGTGACTAGGTTGCCACCCACAAATGTGCAGTATTCGGAAGTTGATCGTCTGTCAGTGACTAATCCAGCCCAATCTGCATCAGTAAATGCCTCCACACTGAGATGGCTATGTTTTGAGAAATAGAGACCCTTTTCAGGAGAAGACTTCAGGTATCTCAGGATTCTCATAACAGCCTCCAAGTGGGAAGTTCTAGGAGCATGCATAAACTGGCTCACTGTGCTCACAGCAATGGCAACTTCTGAATGTGAATGAGATAAGTATATGAGCTTGCTCACTAGTCTCTGGTATCTCCTTTGTTCACTAGATCTCCCTCTTGATCCTCACTCAGTTTCTGGCCCGGTTCTAGAAGTGTATCACATGGTCTACCTGCAAGCATTCCAGTTTCCTTTAGCAAGTCAAGTACATACTTCCTCTGGCAAATGAAGATGACATCCTTGGACCGAGCTACTTCAATGCCCAAAAAGTACTTCAAATAGCCTAAGTCTTTGATCTCAAACTCTTTGGCTAAGTATTCTTTCAAACAAGAAATCTCCTCAACATTATCTCCTATCAGAACAATATCATCAATATAGACAATAAAAGCTGTGGTCTTACCATGTGAGGAGTGTTTCACAAACAAGGTGTGATCAGCTTGACTTTGCTTGAATCCATATTTCAGCATAGCTTGAGTAAACCTTTCAAACCAAGCCCTAGGAGACTGCTTTAGCTTATAAAGTGACTTTTAGAGCCTGCATACTTTACTGTTGGACTTAGCATCTGCAAAACTAAGTGGAATATCCATATAGACTTCTTCTGCTAATTCTCCATGAATAAAGGCATTCTTTACATCAAATTGATGAAGGGGCCAATCCAAATTTGCAATAAGAGAGAGTAAAATTCTCACAGAATTCATCTTAGCAACCGGTGCAAATGTCTCTTGGTAATCCACCTCATAAGTCTGAGTGAAGCTCTTAGCAACCAGTCTTGCTTTGTATCATTCTATAGAACCATCTGCTTTATGTTTTACCGTGTACACCCACTTACACCCAACTGGATTTTTGCCTCTAGGTAACTCTACTAACTCCCAAGTGCCACTCTTGCTGAGAACTATCATCTCTTCCATCATAGCATGTTTCCATTCAGGAATAGAAAGAGCATCCTGAAAATTGGTAGGTAGACTCACAGAAGACACTTTAGACAGAAAAACTTTATATGAGGAAGACAGATGAGAATAAGAGACATGATTACTAATAGGATGTTAAGTACATGACCTAACCCCCTTCCTAATAGTAATGAAAACATCAAGATCTGAAAAAGCAGGAATAAAAGCACTAGAATCAAAATTACCTAGACTCACAGTAAAGGCGGGTGACTCTGGACACTCATCCGGAGAAGAAGTTGGTAGTAGAGGAAGAAAAGTAGTCTCTTGCATCCAGGTGATTTGCTATCTGTCCTTATCCTTGATATAAACTTTGCCTGGTTCCTTTTCTTCAACAATTACTGGCTCATCATCCTTTATCTGTTTAACAGGAACACGAATCTCTTCACACCAAGGTTCCCCCTGAAGGGATGACTGTGATACCGGGGGGGGGGTCGGAAAATAGGGTTGAGACTCAAAGAAAGTGACATGCATGGAGACAAACCATTTGCAAGTGGGAGGATGATAACACTTATAACCCTTTTTGGTGATAGAATAATCCAGAAAAACACACTTAAAGAGACCTAGGATCCAATTTACAATGAGTGGGTAAAAGATTATGGACAAAGCAAACACAGCCAAAATTCTTAGGAGGAATGGAGAACTCGGAAGGGGTAGACCCGAACAAAATTTTAAGAGGTGTTTGTTTTTGAAGAACTTGGGTAAGAAGACGATTAATCAAATAAGCGGCAGTGAGAACCGCGTCCCCCTAATAGGATCAAGGAACCCAGATCTCAAATAATAGACAACAGACGATGTCACGACCCAAACCCACCCCTGTAGGTTTAGTGTCGTAACCGGCCAGTAATCTGCGATTACCGAAGGCCTCACTGAGCTAAGCAAGCAAACGGGTCTAGCGGAAGCTAATATGCAAGAAAACAAAACGTCCAATGAGCTGTGAATTTACATGAGACAAAAGATATTGCTATATATATACTTGTATACACGCAGAAGTATAACATACTATTACAAGTTTGTCTAAAAAGACAAACAAAAGGGGAAAGTTACTCCCATTGACAACAATTATGATGCTAGTGACAACTTGACCAAAACACATGAGTGCATAACAAAAGGGTGAACACTGGCCACACCAAAACTTAGGTAGATGGGAACCTCGCGGTGAGGCACGGTGCTTAGCTTAACAAAACCAGAGTAAGACCGACGCCACTATGTCCTTTCCTGAGCTGGATCACCTACATAGTATACCAAAATGTGAGCTAGGGCCTAGTGAGTAACAACTGAATAAAGAGATTTTGAATGATAATTATAACACAAAATAAAACACAAACTAAGCAGGTTCATATGACATTTGAGAAGCATAACATTTCGCGTAGTATATTCAAAAGTAGTAAATACAGGCGGTCTAGAAGACCGAACAGACGGTCATGACGATCAGACAAGCGGTCAGGAAGACCGAACAGATGGTCATAAAGACCGAAGATCAGATATGTTAGCTATTGCCATATTAAACAGGAGTTCCATGAAATGGAACTGACAGAACTGTACTCATATGAAGAGGTGCTAAGGTTGTTATAGTAAATAATGGAAACTGGGATAGAATTATCATTCATCCATATGAGAAATATATCGGAATAACGCATAAGTTGAAGCAGAGAAAAGATAATTTAAATTAAATATATATTTACAGCAGTGCTACTCACAGGGGGTTTCGCGATGCAGGTGATTGGAACTTGGTGTTTGACCTACACAAACAAATACAAGCGTAGAACACTTAATTTTCCATATAACTAGCTAATTAGTTTCATCTCTTAAACGTTGGTTGGTCTAAAAGTCGTTCACCCATGTTAAATGCTTTTGCAATGCAAATGGACACTAATTACAGATGTAAATTATGTTGACGGAGGCTCAGGAGTGGGGTAAATAACACAGAAAAATGAAACCGGGGTTGTGAAACTGCCGCACGTGCAGAGGTCCTTGGCTGCACGTGCGGGGTCCTCTCCGTACGTACATCGCACGTGTGGTTCTAAGTGCTTTTATTTCAGAATGCACCTTCCTCTCCCCCTTGTTTTCCGCACGTGCGGGCCTACCCGCTGCACGTGCGCCGGTGCTCTCCTGTACGTGCGGGCTCCCTAGCCGCACGTGCGGTTCTGGGTATTCCAGAACCGAGTTTCTGCTCTGTTTTTGGGGTTCCAAATTCCTCAAACTTAAACCTAAAGTCAACCAAATTAAAGGCCAAAAATTAATCAATTTGATGTATGGACAAAAAACCAAGTTCAAACTAAGAATAGAACTCTAAAATCCAAGCCAAATCCCACAATCTTATGAATCACTTAAGGTTAGAGAGGAAATAAAGCTCATGCATATGGAAATTCTATGTTCAATAAAACCTTAACTTAGGCTCATGCAAAATCAAGTAGGCTAGCTTTAGTCAAGCCATGATTTGTTAAATTCTTCTATTTAGGGTTTGGAATACAACTTACATGACTCAAAACCCTCACTCTTCCCTTCAATTTCATGAGATCAAAATAAAGCTAATTTTTATTCAAGAGATTATCAAGAAGTCTTACCTCAATAAGTCAATTTGGTGAAATAGCCTAAATTTCCCCTTTTATTTCCTTTCTCTTCTTTCCCTTGACCTCTAGAATTCTCTTTCATAGACTATATGTCTCTCTCCCTCTTTAATTGAGTTCAGCCCATATATATATATATATAGCTATATCTATTTTACTTCATTAATTCAATTAAATTGGAGATACACCCATCAAATGTTAACTAAACCCTTCATTTCTAATTATGGTGAATTGGGCTCTAATCACCTAGTCCACTAGTTAATTCATAACCTTAGGATTTAACGAATCAGACAGGTCCTCTTTTTTTTTTTCATAAAGATGCGTATCTGTTAGCAAACATGATGCACACCAATAGGCATATAGAGCACAGATAAAGACATAATCAAGATTAATCATGAAAGTAACAAGTAGGTAAGAAGTAGGTATTACAGTCTTTCCCCCTTAGGACGTTTGGTCCTCCAAACTCAAGTACCTTCTTTAGTGGAGAGCGTAGGATCTAGTGGAAAAAGTTCAGGATATTTCTCATGCATCTCAACTTCTCGTTCCCAAGTTGCATACATGCCACTATAGTTCTACCAACCCACTTTTACCAACGGAATTTCTTTATTTCTCAACTTTTTGATTCGACGACTAACAATCCGGAGAGGTCATTCTGCATACGTATAATCATCACTTATAGGTATTTGAGTAGGTTCAACCATTTGTTGAGGGTCTAGGAGAGATTCTCTTAACATAGAAATATGGAAAATGTTATGCATGTGTTCCATATCCGGTGGTAGAGCTATTCGGTACGCCACTGGACTCAGTTTCTCAATAATTTCATAGGGTCCAATGTACCAAGGTGCTAACTTAACCTTGACTCCGAAACGAGTATGTCCCTTTATTGGCGTAAATTTGACAAATACATGGTTACCTACTTCATATTCTCTTTCCCATCTACGCACGTCATCATAGCTTTTATGTCGGCTTTGTGCGGTTTTTAACCGTTGTTGAACCAACTTCACTTTCTCTGTAGTCTTTTGCACAAGTTCGAGTCCCAGTAATGGTCTATCTCTAACTTCAACCCAACAAGTTGGCGACCGACATTTCCTACCATATAAAGCCTTGTATGGTGCCATGCTAATGCTGGAGTGATAGCTATTGTTGTATGCAAATTCAACCAAAGGCAAATGTGTTTCCCAATTTCCTTGAAAATCCAACACACACACACGTAACACGTCCTCAAGTGTTTGAATTGTTCTTTCTGATTGGCCATCGGTTTGTGGATGGTATGCACTGCTCAACCTTATCTCAATTCCCATTGCCTTTTGCAAGCTTTACCAAAACCTCAAAGTAAACTTCGGATCTCTATCTGATATAATTGACACGGGGACTCCATGCAATTTCACAATTTCGTTCATATACAGAGTAGCCAATTTATCCACAGTATATGTCATCTTAACAGGTAGGAAATGAGTAGATTTTGTCAATCGATCTACAATTACCCAAATAGAATCCATACCTCTACCGGAGCGCGGCAAACCAACCACAAAATCCATTGTGATATGTTCCCATTTCCACTCCGATATTGGCAATGGATGAAGCAATCCTGCGGGTTGTTGATGTTCTGCCTTAACTTGTTGACATTGCAAACACTTAGATACGAACTCCGCAATTTCCCTTTTCATTCCCGGCCACCAAAAATTTTCCTTTAGGTCTCGATACATTTTCGTGTTTCCCGAATGAATAGAGAATTTGGAACTATGGGCTTCTTGGAGAGTTCGTTTCTTCACCTCATTGTCGTTAGGGACACATAACCGTCCTTGAAACTTAAGTATGCCATCCTCAAAACTGAACCCCGGTCTAGGTTTGGATTCCCATTCGTCCACTATTTTCTTGAGGAGCTCATCTTGCAATTGTTTCTTTTTGATCTCTTCAACTAGTATTGGCTCACATACTATCGTTTCCTATCTG